CCACTTTAACCTTTTTTTAAAAATATTTATGTTTATTTTTGAGACAGGATCTTTCTATGTAGCTCAAACCTGCCAAGAATTTATACTCTTCCTGCCTCTGCTTCCCAACCTCGGGCCTTATGCACATGTCTTGTGACCCTGCACTAGCTTGCTGTCTCAGTTCTGAAAGATTTGTTCAGGTAGTAAAAGATCAATACACAGTTTGTTTGGGCCAGGGAAAATAATTAAAAATACATGAATTTTCCTGGGGGACAACATTGGAATATATGTACAACACATTATTTTAATACAAAAGGAACTTCAAAAAGGTATGTAGGTACTTTAAGCAGGACAAAACACACACATTTACTTGACAACACTAAATTTTCAACTATATAAAGCATATTTTTTTTTTCTTGAAATAGATACTTGGTATATAATGAGACTGAACTTTCATTTGTTATCTCATGATACATAAAGTCAAGAATCATAGTGAGGTGTACAAAATTGTCACCATGAGTGAAGAACAATGTAGATTTATTTATATTAAGTTGGATTCAAGTACCTACTGCCTCCTAATCTCCATTTCAAAGCAAAAGCACAAAATAAATGGGAACCAAACAAAATAAATCCCCATTCTGTATCCAAGCATCTATTTCCCTGATAAAAAAAGATTAAAGTCATCAAGTACAATTCCCTCGCACCTGCACTGTACCTTAGCCAAAAGTTTATTCATAGTTTGTGCATCGTTGATCTCACACAACTGTAAATCAAATTACCTGCAGGTACTTCCAACATGGTAGGTATGTTGGAGTATCTCCTTCCTTTAATACATAACCTTATTCCCATCCTAAAATATCACTTGGTAATTCTGACCACAGTTTAGCCTGTTTTACTTCGAATATAATGTTTATTAATACAACTGTCTTTGTGTTTTTTTAGATGTTTTTAACACTGTGAATGCTTCTACTTTTTAGCTTTTCTTAGTATTTAGTAACAAAATCAGCCACTGCCACCACACGGGAAGAAAAGAGTATCTAAGTTCCCTCTAGTTGGAGAATCACCAGGGTCGTACATTATGGTGATGGGTGAGTCACAAATAATGATTAAACCATTTAGGAGTAGGTAGAACCAAGGCAGATTCTCTAGGGTATAGAGCATTTTTATGCAACCAGTGTCCATGATACAGGGATACAGTCCATTTATTGATAGACCTTAACATGAGGGAGAATACCAACACCTAAGAAATTGGTGAGGCTCCTGATAGCCTTGTAACTCCTAAAGTGAAATTATTTTCTACTTATGCCTTGGAGAGAATGGAGTTGCCCATGAGCCCTTCCTTTCTCCTACTCCTCTCTCTTCCTTTGCCTGTCATCCCTTCTTCATCCCCATTATCATCTCTTCCTTTACATCTTTCCCTTCTCCGTACGACCTTGGGCTTTTTGCACACGAGTCTGAAGCAAATGAGTTGGCTAAGTCATGTTGTTATCTGCAGATGGCAAACTCACAGGAAGCACCAGAAACCTCTCAAAGAAGCCGCGAACACAGCAATTCATCCTTCCGGAAGTCATTCCCGCAGGCATTTGTGGTACTGTTTGGCAAGACTTTATAGGTGAAATGAACTAACAAATTGCAGCAGATGAATCTTTAGTCAATTTATCCAAATTGAGTTATTCATAAATGTACTCTCTATTTCCACTTTTTCCTGATTCATATATAAAATAATGACACATGCAAATGCATTTGTCCTAGCATTACCAATTTGCATTCTGAATTCACCACTGGAGACCAGCCCTTCCTTGTCTGTGATGTTATTTTGGGTTGTACTATTTGTGTGACTCTTTTCATCCATTTTTATGCTTCACTGATCCATATTTTAATCATGAGTCTATTTTTGAGAACTAGGGATAGAAGGGAACAAAGGCATAAAATACAAAATTATCAATTTAATAATGTTAACAGTAGCATGAAAATGGCGTGAAAAATGTATTAGGTGAGACAAACTGTGTCCCATTAGCGAAATCTTTGCAGATAAACAAACCAAAGTGGTCCTTAAAAGGACATGTGGAATTTTAGAGGGCAAAAATGGCCATTAATTGTATGAGTAGTGAGAATTCTATGCAAATAAAAATTAATCTTACATATCAGATTCATTTAGGGTTCTAAACAAATTAGTTTCATGGATTCTTTTGTGTGTTCCTATTCAAATTGACAGACTGCCTGTGACATGGCCAAAAAACATACTTTAATTCTGCTACGGATGTCAAATTAAATCATGTTTCCTCTCACATTTCTAGTCTCTAAATTCATTGCACATCACCACTTTCTTTGTCTTTTTTTCCTGAGACATTGTATATGTACATGCATATCCACTCAGATGCAATAATCAGGAAATGAATGAGAAGAGCCCCTGTATTTTGACCTTTTATCATAATTTAAAGTGGCTGAGCAGGGCAGAAAGAGAACAAATACTCTGGACCCTCCAGTCTTATCTCTAAGAAGCCAGATGAAACCCAGCAGCAGCTTTCACTCGTCCACTGCGGCCATCTTCTTGACTGAATGTGCAGTCACTACATCCTACCTCAGGAAGGATGCCGCCTTAGCTTTAGAGCACGAAGAACCAAAAGGAGGCTGCTAATAAAATACATAAACAGTAAATAAATAAATAAACCATTGCTCGTTACAATTGTGACTTTGCACCTGTACCTCGTGAGTAGCCTTTTCGGGCAAAATCCCCAAAACATCATCCTGACACACACAGTGCTACACTGAAAATACATCAGTGTTTATACAAAAAGTAACTTGATGAATTTAATAAACATAAGAATTTGGAAAGTGCTTTGCAAAAAATAAATATCCCATGCCTTAGGACCAGAATGCTTATTTGTTCAAAATAACTTCACTTTCTGTTCTTTATTGTAAGGAAAGAATGCTGATCTTTACACTTTGTCTCTAAAAATACATTGCAATCAAAAGGAATGCTCTTGCCCTTAATATAAATATGAAACTTTGATATAAATAGAACTGTGTTCAAACATATGAATAAATGATAAAGTTGAAAATAAAGAGCTTACCCAAATTATTTCATAATTCATTGTTTCTTACAAGTTTAAGGGTCTTAAATATTAAAAGTACTTTTAGTTTCATTGGCATACGAGTATATCATATATATATGTGTGTGTGTGTGTGTGTGTGTGTGTGTGTGTGTGTGTGTGTGTGTGTATGATAAACATAGATTGATCAACATGTTGATAGATTATTTTATTTGGTTCACATGAATTGAACATTTATGAAGAGCACGGCTCCACACCATTTAATAAACTTAGCCCTAAATCTTAGTTTTCCCCTATAGAGTGGGGCTTTACTACTCATACAAGTAGAAATTTCACTGCATGGAATCTATAAGTGACACAGAGAAGGGCAGCATTTACAGGGCTTTTTTTTTTTTTTTTTGCATTTCAGTTTATATTTATCACCAATCCTACTTATAATGCTGACTAAGATTCCTTTGTCTAATGAAGTTTATGGGAAGATCAATTATATCTTGAAACTGACTGGTAGAAAGGAGTTAATGATGTTCAAGAGACAGCTAACTGCAGGGCTGGTAAGGCAAGCCTGAGGCTGCTCTATAGAAAATGTATAAATGATAAGCCTGAGGATACGGCTCAACAGCAGGTCACTTATCTAGTATGTGCTAGGCTCTAGGTTTAATCTTCAGTACTGAAAAAGAAGTTAGCAATTCTAAAAGCATCTAGATTCAACAGGAGGCAATTTCTAACCAGAATGAGCTTTCTACCCATTACCAGGCACATTATTGCAGACCATTATCACAAAAAGTTTGCCTAAAAGTTATGCTGTTCAAGAGAACCTGATACCAATTTTAATGTGTTACTATTTTTGGTTTTATCCATTTGCACCTGTCATACTTTTAAAATGGCCAATACCTTCTCTTAATGTTGACAGAACTAAGAATTCTCAGTTCTATTATGATGCTAAAATGATGTCATCTGCATTAAAAGTCAGCTGTTGTTACAATTGTATTCACATGTCCGTGGAGAGAGCCATATCCGAAACTCTTTGTCTATTATTTTGAAGAACCAGAGAATTTCTAAGACCATTGGTCCCAAGAATAAATGGTCTGTAAAGGTGGAATTTTCTTTTTTATAGAATTTAAAGTTATCGTATGCAATAAAAGGAACTTTTTTCTTGGGCAACAAAAAAAATAGGTTCTCTGACAAAAAAAATACAAATTCTATGAGAAAAGATTTTTAAATAACCATCTCAGTTCTTAAATTAGCCTAAATGGTACTATTAAGAGCACTATTGGGCACCTGAAGTTGTGATCACTTTTGTCAATGAATACTTGACAGAATATGTGAAAGTCATTCATTAGCATTCTTCACAGTATAATGCAGCAGGAGATGAGGACCCTGAATTAGCTACATTTTGCTACATTTATTGTACTGAAGGTCAGCTGAAGACCGGGATTGCTTTTTGACAGAATGTCTGATTGAAGAATGTGGCTTTTTAGAGACTGTGGGATTTAAGATCAAAATTATTTGAAATATATAAGGAAAATGTTAAAGAACAGTAGTAATGAGCACATATGACGCCCGAAGTTTCAGACTGTTTGGTCTTTGCTTTGTATCAGTTGACATCGTCTCCCTAAAACTCTCTGAAAAAATGAGCATTCCCATTGCTGATCCTTAGCAAGAGGCCCTTGAGAGGGGACGATGCTTAAGATTTTGAAATCATTGTCTGGAGTTCAACCTAAATTCCACCACTTCCTGGTTCATTGAGCTTCCATGAGACTGATAGAGAGCACTAAAAACACATTCATCTTGCAGAACTTTGATGGGGAATGTATTTTAAAATGGGAATTAAGTGCTTGCACAGAAACTTTTTTTTTTTAAATTTCCTCTTTTCCTAATCCTTTGTTCTAATCTAAAAATTGTAGGCACCAGATTGCCTTGGTTACAATCTAAAGATTACTGTCTCTGGACTTCCGAACGAAAGGGATTTGGGCTGGTAATTACATTCTTCATGCATTAAAATTTTATGATTTCATGTTTTGTTTTCCTCTCTACTTTTTGTCATAGTAAATATGTAGTGTTAGGTAAGGCACAGCCCTATCAAGGTCTGCTCCAGTGCTACTCGAGTGTCCTAGGAAGGAATCAGCACTCACAGAAACTGCCAGAGTACTGGCGGTTCTGCACACTGTTTCACCCAGTCCTCGGCACACGGAGGCACCTCACAAGGGGCAGAGCAAACAGGGAGGAAGCGGCTGGACCCGAGCCACCTAACTGTGAAGTCACAGAGCAGCAAAGCAGTGCAGGCATGTCACCTAGTTACCATGGGCATGGCCCAAGCCCTGAGGCTGCTAGTAAGAGAAAAGGACTATTTGATCTTAAAGCAAGAACTATGAAGAGAAGGGTGAGTATCGCTTAAGAGATGCTGTGACCAACTACCCAGGCAGTTTATTAACAGTAAATTAAACCTCCTCGGTAAACTGAGGTTAGATTAAAAATACCAGAATAATTATTAAATGTAATGTAGATGTTTATTGTAAATATCTAACCTTAAATGTTTTGGTTTTTTTTAATATATGTATATAAAACTCACAGTGAAGAAAGGAAGGAAAATTCATGATAATTCATCATATATCATAAGACACCAGCTTCTGAACAAGAGAACCATGCCAGTCACTGTGACTCTAGACAGAGAACGAAGAAGTCCTCTACGAGCCCCATGGGTTTACAGAAGTCTGTCAATCTCTCTGTCCATCTTCCGGATCATTATTCAAGTCGCTATCCCCAGTTTCGCTAGATATGGAAGATCTAGTCCAGCTCCAGCTCTGTAGATGACTTTTCTTCCTAATGGATTAGGAATTGGTTCCCTTTAAATTATCTTTGAGCTGATCTGCTGCTCAAAAAAGCAGTAGGAATGTCACCACCACCCGTGTTTGTTTTGTGTATGTGTTTATATCTCTACCTCACCACCCTTGTATTATGATTGCCACACGAGAACTTAAAACTGTCCGTGGAACTGTTAGCAAAACTTAATTGTAGATGTCATGGTTTCCTTATTTCTCTTGACATATCTATTGTATCTTATTGTATTGGCTCTTTCAAGGATCTGAATGTTTTTCTAGGTCAGGAAAGATAATTCTAAAGAGTCCCAGATTGATGTAAAAAAAATTAACCAGATGTTTAGTCATTTTATTAGGGATGACCAATGGGCTGGGAAATTTACATAAATGTTTACCAAAATTCAATCAGCAAAACAGATAAATGTATTGAATAAAGCTGGGATGGCTATTGCATATATTTGAAAAAAGAACAATATTTTTATTCAATAAATCTGTTGCAAAAGTGTGGAACTTTTAATATAAATTAAGGACTCACAAGTGAAAATAATTAAACCACGCAGGGTGCAAAGGGGTTTTTAACATTATCCACTACAATGTATTGTTATGAGGAATGGGACTTTACATTCTTTCCATGGACACTACCTGTCATATTGTAACAGTTGAAAGAACGATAGATTTTACAACTAAATTATAAAATGCAAATCAGAGAAAAAAGGCATTAGTTAAGAGCCAAGCCAGTCATCAAAGAATATTTGTTTGGGGATTCTGAGAAAACAACAGTTATTGCAAGGAGCATGGACAAGTTACCAATAGGGAGAGAATGACTCCTCCCTTCTCAGCAATCATAGATGCTATACACTATCCCTTGGGGGAGGAGTGGGTATCTGTTTCTAATGAATATTTTCTGTGTGACCTTTTCACATTCAGGCCTTCCCCAGCTCTGGGAGAACTGGTGATGACATGGTGTCTACTCTGTAAAATCAATGCCTACATAAGCACTTCCCTGTGTACTTACCATTGGAATGGCCAGTATGTGCTTATTGGAGTTAAACACACTGGGTTCCTAGTTCAGATCTGACATGGTTTACAATCTTAACATGAGTATCTTTTAAAAATCCAAACCCTGCTAAGCCTGGTGGCACACACCTTTTTAGTTCCAGCACTCAGGTGGCAGAGTCATGCAGCTTTCTGTGAGTTTGAGGCCAGCCTGATCTGCATAGTGAGTTCCAGGGCTATAAGACTACATAGTGGGACCCTGTATTACCTCTCAAATATTAAAAATAAAAATAAATATGAAAATTCTCACAGGTTTAGGTAAAAATAGATTAATGCAAGGAAATTCCTGAAGACTTTATTGCATATATATAGCCTTGAACCAGTACTGGAGCAAACTCAAATAACAAAAATAAGAAACTTCCACATTACCCTTACTTGTGTGACAGGCAGGTTTTGTTGGTTTATGGGCTTTCAAATAGCACAATGAAGGTAACACCCTTTCCATGTGCATTAAAATTTATTCTTTTTTCCTTTTATTCATTCTTTCATACAATCTTGACCACAGCCTCTCCTCCCTCTACTCCTCTCAGTTCCCTTCCCCACTTCCCCTCTCTCCCAGATCCACTGCTCCTCTGTTTCCCTTCAGAAAAGAGCAGGCCTCTCAGTGATGTCAGCAGAACACAGCGTAGCAACAACAAGATGCAATAAGACTAGACACAGCCCTCATATCAAGGCTGTATAAGGCAACCCAGGAGACGGAAAAGGGTCCCAAGAGCAGACAAAGTGTTTAAGTGTTTGGGACACCCCCATCTTGAGTCCCACAAAAAGTACCTTAAAATTTAAATTAAACTGAAATCACAAGGACGTGGGGAGTATAATTTACTCCAAAATAATATAATTATTTTGTCCTTTAATCTCAAATCATGAGGCGCAAAGGGCTTAATTGCTATATAAAGATTTCCCATTTAAGGCTTGCTACATCTAGTGATATCGGTTGTCTTGATCGTCCCACTTCAGATGGAAGCCTGCCTGAGGCCCAGTGAGCTGTGCTCGGCTCTGCCCTCCCTACTCCTCCTTGCAGGTATTGATTTCTCTTGCCCTTGCTTAGTTAATACATCTGCAATAAAAATGACAGATTTTCTTCATTGCAACGTAAGTAGGCATATAGTACATGATGCACTCTAATTTTTGGTGGAGGATATCAAAATAGAGGAATGTTTGTTATATAGCCAGAGGGGTAATTATTCTTGTAGATATTGCCTCATGCCTTAATCCCAAATGTTTAATTTGTATTTTCTATATTTTTATAGATTTGTGTGCATGTAAAACCACATCTTATAAAAGTGCTTATTTAAGAACATACACCTGTGTGTCCATGTGTGAGTCCTAACAAACTTAACATTAAGCTCATTCTTTAGCCATCTTTGTATTTATTTTTTGTTATAGTAAATAAAAAAGCATTCAATTACCTATGTAATTTTATATGAACATGTAAATTCATAAATTCAAATTAAATACATAGCAAGTCAGATTCAATGAACATTTTCACTAACCATAATCTTTGAAAAATAAAAAATAAAAACAAGGGCGTAGCAGTCTGTCAGAGTAAGTAAGGCAGGACTTCAATCTGAGGTTTGTGATATCATCAAAAAAGAAGTCCAGCACCTAAGTTACCATGGTTTCCTGCAGAAAATCTCAAACCCTCAAAATCACCAGAAAGAGTGGTCATCACAGAAAATTTATTGAACTTTCTATTATTTTCTAGTATTTTGTTATTCTGTTATATATAGCTTATTATTTATGATCATAACAGCATACAGTAGACTACTTGCATAGTTCATGTCAAATTATATTTAATATTGTCATTATGTATTTTCTTTTCTTTCTGGTTGAACAATATGTTTTTTTTCCTATTTTTAAAAACAGCAAAGCGGAAAACTGGTGAATAGTATAATGACATACTGTAAAGTGTATTGTTACTATGGTAATAAAAAGAAGAGCAAATGTCCAAATTCCTTTGGATAAAATCCAATTCTTTGTGTGAATATTTAGCTCTCTGCACTAAATGTAAGCAAATGTTCATGTGATATTTTCAGTTCAATAAAATGCTTTCTTCTAACTTACAGTTATTTGAACAGAACCCTACTATGTTCCAAGTAATTACAGATACTAGCATGATCAAAATAACATGTCTGATCTGCATAATATTGTCTATTTGAGAAAAATGGGTAAACCCATGAGTAGTGTAAGAGACACATGCATAGGAAGCAGAGCATCTTAGCAATCTTCCTCCTCCTGCTCCTCTACCTCCGGCCCTCCTCATGTCCCTCCTCTCTTAAACATGTTCCCTTGCCTCTTCTTCCTTCTCCTCCCTGTCATCCCCTTCAAAGCTCTCCCCTCCTCATTTGGAGTTCCTACTATTCCTGCTTTCCTCCTGCCTCCTCTTATTCCTCCTCATTTTATTTTTGAGAATAGATACACTAATAACAGATGCCAAGGGAGGGATTGCAGCTTTAATACCACCCTGCAAGGACAATGAGAGGTATAGATAGCTAACATTATGGCGATTAAACAAATATCTGATAATTCCCTTTGCCTCATATATCCCACCACATTTTCTGCATCTAGTTATTAGTAAGTGGATCTTACTCGTATTCATAAACAAGATATCAAACAAGAAAATATGAACACTATGAGTCTAAGATAATGGGTACCAATCCAGAATTAATCTGTCACGTTTATTACAATATAATTAAAACATAAGATTAATTCCAGGACAATTGTTTGAGTCACAGTTCTGACTAGGGATTATGTTGTACTAGCTTTCATAGTACTAATTCTCATGTTACCAACTAAATTAGCATTATTAGAAAAGTAACGAAAAGGTGAGGAATTGTTGTTGCCAGAAGCACAGACACAGGCACGTATTCTAATAGAGCACATATTTTCTGTAAGTTCTGTGGCATATAGGGGTTTTAGCTGGATATGACCACTAATGAAAAGCTTTCAGCTCAATTTCAAATTTTATCTTGCTACCAAAGTGTGCGGTGTCTTTAGCAATGAGGTCTTATCAAGTGGGTGTGTTGGGTAATTAAACATATTTTGGGGGCTTTTGGAGCTTCCTTCACAAACAAGTTATACAGAAGTAGCAAATCCCAGGCCCTGGCATAGCTCTTTTCTTAACTAATAATGTATGCTACATGGAATGTTCTTGGAATATGTTCAAAATATGATTATATTTTAGCACAGCAATTCAGTAAGACTTTAAATTTTCTAGCTTAATAATTATAGTAGAATTCTGATAAACATGATTATTTCATAATTTTTTCATAAATATTTTATAAAACTGTGAGCTTGCTTGTAGCTTACCAGTACTCACAAACTAAAATATGATAAGTCCTGCCATTGACTCATATATCTCTAAATCATAGGTGGCTTTCCAGAGTGGCCAGCACAGTTAATAAAAAATATTTAATATATTAGGAAACAGACAAATGTCCAAAATAAAATTGCTCATAGATATGTAGGTGTGATCATGAGAGTCAATGTTTCTATGGAAGTTAACTTTCAAAAACTTTCTCTTTATGGCTTTGAAAACCAACGAGAAGAGCTGGGCGGTGGTGGCACACACCTTTAATACCAGCACTCAGGAGGCACAGGCAGGCGGATCTCTGTGAGTTCAAGGCTAGCCTGGGCTACAGAGTTAGTTCCAGGACACCAAAGCTACACAGAGAAACCCTGTCTCGAAGAGAAAAAAAAAGAAAAGAAAAGAAAAGAAAGGAAAAGAAACCAACAAGAGAATAAAGAACATCTGGGGCTAAGACACAAGAATAAGTGAAACTCTAGAAATATGAGTCTACCACATGATACTATATTTGCTTAAAGGAAATTTAATGACACAAAAGAGATTGAATAAGATACTGGAGAAAAATGCTCACATTTAATTCTTAAAAAAAAAAGAAACAAATCAATAACCAATGATTGATTCCATGGGCATCTTTAGTTAACAATCAGTTGTGCACAATTATGCACTGAATAACAGAGATATAACCTATAAGATATGTTTATGAATATAAATATGAGAACTTTATTATAGAATTGAGTTTATTATGGTTCACACTCAACTATAGTTGCTGAGATGTTCCTTGACAATCCATCTGCAGATTGTAGACACAGGTATGCCTGTCATGTGGCTCA